CAAAGATTCCACGATTTCCGTCTAAGATTTTTGTTAGTGTAATACCAAAATTACCAAAGCAATATTACCTGAGGAACAGGAGCTGTCTCATTTACAGCTACCATGCCTGTAGCAGCCTCTAACCTATTTGGTTGAGTACCCGCTGCTCCAACTCACTTAGTGTAAGTTACAGGCAGGCCCACCACCAGTGCCGCTTACAGAGCGATTGATTTTTGCGGCCTTTTTTTGTGTTAGTTTTTAAGTCACTCCACCCACATATGCACATGCAAAGCAAACAAACAAGCTTATCACCACATAGTATAAAACAAAGTAGGTCTTTCTGTCTATACCTATCTATGCTTAGATCTTTAAAACACGCAATGGATTTTGATGCAATTGTTTTAATAGATAAAGTGACTCAAGAGAAAGTTTACATGCATTAATAACAGTGCGAACTGGCGGGTGGCTAGCTAGCTATAAAATACAGTTGAAAGTGTTAAGCAAATATCCCTGTAATATTTAAAAGCACATTGCCTAATGGTGACATAATAATAAAGCTGCTGCTTGAGAAGAGCCGCATAATTATAATTATTGTTTTTAACCTTTTTCCACTTATCCACCGGCTTTGACTGCCCGTTGTGTCTAAATTTAGGCCATCGTTAGTTCTTCCCACTTTGTAATGGCACTAAGCCTGCCGTGAGGTCCACCAGCAGGCTTATTGAGGTCTCCATTTCTAAAATATATACAAAATACACGAAAATTTAGAACTGTTGATGTTAAATGATCATACTATGGTTATATTTTATAGCATTCCTTATAACTGAAAGTAGGTGTTAAAACTTACTACCTGTCCATATATCCACCATTATCGAATTGGAAAAACTAGTTCTCGTCGACATCTTATTTATTGAAAGCAAAAAAATTGTATTCAAATTTTTAAATGGCGGCGCGGGCAGTTTGTTGTTGATTGTGACATAAAACTTTGCACAAATGTCAAAATAGCAAAATCTATCTATTTCTTTTTAGTTATACGAGAGTAAAAAGAGAAAGAATATCAGTGTGAACTTCGTCCATACGTGTGCGTCTATACTGTACACACCTCGTGCGCCGGTCATGGGATTGTGGAATAAAAAGACGACACTTTGTAAACAAACACTATTTATTGCACAGTCACTGATTAGATAAAGTACGATAATCGACACTAAATTAATATATAAATGTTTGGAAAGAAAGGGCGCGCGTTGAGCGCGTGCCTCAGGCGCTTCTTGTTCTCCTTCCTGCGCTTGCACCTTGCACCGTGCCCGCCCTGGGGTTGTGCGTATCGAGAGCAAGGGCACTCGCTGGCTGTGTGTGACTCGCCACACCGCACGCATGCCATAGGCCGGTGGCAGTTGTGCGACGAGTGCCTGAATTGTTGGCAGCGGTGGTGCTGCACAGTGGTGCAGGGCATTTCTTGCCTCGACATGCCTCTATTTTAATCCCGGGCATGCAGAGTAACTCCGTCACTCCGTAGATGCCCGTTGTGGTGTTTTCGCGTGAGCGATCTGGGCGTAGTACAGGCCCAGGTCGATCCTGGCGTGCGCGGATGGGGCAGACGTATTCGGCCTCATAGCCGACGTCCCGCAGCGCCTTTTGTATTGCTTCCGGCGAGGTCTCTACTGGCAGCCGGAGAGAGTTCGTGAACCAGACAACTCCCTGGGTCCTCTCCAGGTCGGTTAGGTACGCCTGGATCGCCCTGTACTCGTCGTTGGAGCGGGGCGTGAAGCGAACACCCTGGCTAAAAGGGCGGGCGTTGGGCGCGTGATCCATCGGCCTGAACAAGCCGAGGCGTGTTGCGGGCCCTCTGGTGGTCTGCTTGCGGGTATCTCAGGGGCGCGGGGCTACCGTGAGGCATGATGGTACGGTGATGCACACAGACGCCACCCAAGGGGGGGGGGGCGTATTTGGTGGTTGCTGCTGGAGGGTCTCGGTGGCGGCGCTTAGGCGACGCATCAGTCGCCTATCCGCGATTTTAGGATAATACTAGCAATGTGCCGCGGTTTCCGCGTAGATTATCGGTCCCATCCTGCTTTTGAAAATAATCTTTCTGAAGAGACTGACGTCCCAATATGGAAATATATTCTCATGCCAATTGTAACCCTAATTCCAGTCACCACCGGACCAAGCGTCAGAGCAGAACAAGAAACTACAAAATAAATTTTATCAGTTGCAATCCCAGGGCGCCATGATTCTCTCCGTGGGGGTATAAATAAATTTACACGACACAATGTTATACAATAGAAAGTACATTTCTACAAGATTAACTTAATTTAACACACACTTAATTATGTTATTAAATTACCAATTTATATAAAGTTAAATAGCGGTACAAATACCATACATTTAGATGATTATCAGCCAATCATCAAATCATGCACCTTTAAATATATAACAATTATTACACCTTACCCACTTATTTTTGTTAATTTTAATATAAATTTATCTGGAAGGAAGTGGGTAATTATACATATGTAACAAAATTCCAAATATACATGAATGGCAATATTCTACTATAGATTTGGATTAAAGACAGCAAAAACAGCTAATCTGTAATAAACATATCACCTTCGCAGGATGATTGTCAATACCTGTATAAGAACATACACTTAATAAGCTCTGTTACTTAACTTATGAGACAGTTTTCCGGCGTGCCAGCACTACAACAGAGGATCTGGTGTACGGCTATAAGGATCTGCCTTCATCCGGTGACTTCGAATAAATCTCATGAAGGCATGAGTATCTGAAGCCGTATTATGATGCTCCAGTTTGACTTCATGGGCAAAACGATAAATCAATTGATTGTCTACAATGGGGTAGACATAGATAAACTTTCTCCTGATACAAAGAGTTTTCTCCTGATATAAAGAACCCAGAATCTGGGACGAAATACACACAAATATTAATTAATTCAGGTCTTTCACTGGACCTGCACAACAACTTTTTAATAAAATTATAAGACACAGCACTTCTTCAGTCTGATCTTCTTTGTTGTACAAATCGTTTTCGAAAAAAGACGGTTTCTACAAAACTCCTACATTTATACCCCCTATCTTTCGATTCCACTACTGCTCGAAGCACTATTCATAACCATATTTGGTAATATTTCGCACGATCCACTTCCTGATCCGAAGAAATCTCTAGATTGTTCCAGAATACGATCCGTGAGACCCCTACTGTCAGAAAGTATTATTACAAAAGAATATGTGTGGAACTAGTGCATCTATGTCACAGAGATAGTACTACTAACACTTGGTCGATGTGAAAGGCAAGATCTACGGTTGTTATTTATCGCTAACGTCTATGTTAATTCGCAAAAGCGATGACAGATGGCGGTATTTAATTATTTATCTATTTTCCCTTATTTTGGGTTAACATATTTTTTTTTTATGTTACAAATGGAGTTTATTATTGTGTCTGTTTTGCTTGGATGAATATAACCGAAGGTTTATCGAAGTCAGACACTTATGATCAAATATTTCGTTCGTTGGTAGCTTGATGGAAATACATAATTATATTGTTTGTGTGTAACACTCTAGTCCTTACTTCTTGTAGTATCTATACAGAGTAAAACGATTTTATGGTTACTAATGACTAAACAACTATATATACTATAAACAATAAATAACTGCACACAACAACAAAAATAAAACTATCAACAATTAATAAAAACTATTACCATACTTTGTCACTTTGATTCCACTAATCACTGTCATTTCCACTACAATACCCACTGTCCGTGTCCGATTCACTTCCTTCAAATTCATTATTATCCCTAAAATGTACTTCAACTATAAAATATCTAATTCCAAGTAACCTAAAAACAAAGAGGATATTTTCTAAAAAACGGACCAAGATTTCGACATTTGAGAAATCTCGGTCCATTTTTTCTAATTTACGTCTAATCTAGCTACAATGTAAGTTATTTAATCTACAATACAAAATATTCTAACTTAATAATTTTTACGCACGACGAGTTCTACACAGCACTGATTACACGATCGCACGGTGCTGCGCTAGAAACAGGAATATTAATAATGTATAAGTATTATAGTTCTTTAAAGTAAATCTTGTGGTTCTTCCACTTGTTGTATCCCTGTGAAAATAGTTGGCAGCTTGCCGCCCCTTCCAGAGAGGGTGCCTCTTGTGTGGCCAGGAGTGTTGCGTTGTAGACGGTGAAATATGACGGAAAGACTAACGTGTGCAGCAGCTTTTCTGACGTCAGCTTCTGAAGGTAGTCGTAGCATGCGTAATATATATTATATGTGAATAATGACAAACAGCCTGGGATAGAGGTGACGGTCGCAGCGGGTGTAGACCGTGGTGGTACCGCATTCCCGTGCGGTCGTGTGGTCGGCCGCGGTATCGCGGATGGTGGTTGTGTCACACCCGCGATAAGTCCAGCGGTGGTCGGGTGTACGATACCCGCGTCGCGGTCGGTGGTGGATGGGTGTGGGACACCCACGTCCGTCTTCGGGTCATCTCTGCGTCCCCGGCTGGGGGCGCGAGGTCGCGCGATCCAGGCCGATGCCTATCTCGGCGGATTCGCTCGCTGCCTGCTACAGTGCTGCTTGCCCTTACTGGGCTTGGAGGAGCGCGGCGATGCTGATGGTGTTGCCTCACGGCCACCGTGAGGCATGATGGGTGCGGTGTGCGGTGTTGTGCTGTGCGCAGTGGCGCCACCCCGCGGGGGGGCGCTGGTGGTTGTTGCGGGGGGGGGGGGGGGTCGTGGCGGCGCGTCGGTCGGTACCCCGCGCGGGGACCCGCCGAGCCGGTACCCGGGGCTAGCCGCTGGTGGCTGACCGGGCACCGGACACGACGGAGGGCCACGCGTTACCGGGGCAACGGCCGAGCGCGCACTGGTGTGGGCGACCCGTCCGCGTCCGAGCTTCGGTCGGGTAGTCCTTGTTGATTCTTGATTTGCGGTCCGAGCGGTGAGGGTAGTTTCACCTTCCTCCTTGGCTGCGCTGCGAATCCACCCACGTTCATTGGTTCCGGCGTGATGGCATCAGTCGGGGCGGGTTGTGCGTGGCGGCGGTGAGGGTGACGCCGGGGTGTCGGGTATCGAAGGGGGCGGGGGAAAATTCCTCCCCCGCTCCTACAGTGCTTCCTGTCGGGGTTGATGAAGGGGTGGCAGTCGCGTTGTACTGCCTCGCGACTGCCTGTAGCGCCCTTATCTCCGTCGGTTGCAGCCGGGAGTTCTTGAATACGCGCCCTTTGCCCTTGCTAAGCTTGGAGGAGCGCGGTGATGGTGGTGCCTCACGGCCACCGTGAGGCATGATTTATTTATTTTGAAAATGTACATATATAACACCACAGCTTACGCCATTAAGTTATACTGTTAATTCTTATATAAATGCTATTATTTAGATACTTAAAAACAAACTAATTAGGTAATCAAATACAAAAAAATAAAAATTAATACAATAAAGAAACAAAATTAACAAAAAAAAGACTATACATTTGTATGACAAATTTGGTAATTAGAGTAATTATTGTAACTTGACACAAACATTAACATTATAATCAGCTACGTATCATCCATCCTCTCACAAAATCTTAAACATTCACGACACACATCTATCCATCTCATTGCAAATAAATCACACTCTGGTGCTGACATCAGGAGAGAATTGAGCATGGTGAGTACTCGGACTAGCGGAGAATTTGCATGGGCCACTGTACGTGCTTCTGGTACAGCCAATAAGGGATGTTGACGAGGTCGAAGTTGGTCTGTGAACAGCCTCGGTACTGATAACCGCACCACCTGACCTACAATCTCTGGACAGTCAGATTCACCTCGCAGCGTCTTACAACTCATAATCATTAAGGAGTAATTACGCCTCACCTCAAGAGAGTTAAACCGTAACATGCCTAACAGAAACTTAGTGGGGTACAGAAAAGGGTAATAGCCAAACCGTTACAAAAACCTCAAAAACGCTTTTTGCACCTTTTCAAGCATCAGAGCATAAGTAACCTCATGCGGACTCCATACCAGAGATGCAGATTCTAGCTTGCTTCTAACCAGGGTCATGTACACCAATTTGATAGCTGCTATATTATCAAATTCACGCATATTGCGAACTGCAAATCCTAATCTACGATAAGAGTCGCTAGTAACCGCTCTAATGTGGTCATGAAAAGTTAATCGAGGATCGAACAATACCCCTAAATCTTTTACCGAGTAGACACGTTCGATCCTTTCTCCTGCCAAATTATAGTACTTAGTCCACATGAATGGGCTTGTGAGCTCTAGTAAAAGACATCACATTGCACTTGGCCGTGTTAAAATTAAGGTGATTTTTAATGCTCCAGTTAAGTACGGAATCAATGTCACCCTGCAATGATTTTGTGTCAGCTATGTTCTGAACACCATACACCAATTTGAGGTCATCCGCATAAAGCAAACACCTAGCACATTTAAGAGATGCTTCCAAGTCATTCACCATTAGGCCAAACAGTAACGGCCCCAAGATTGAACCTTGACTGACGCCAGAACGAGTATGATATGAAGGTGAGACAAAACATCCATGCCTCACGTACTGTTGGCGATCACGCAAGTAACTTGCAAAGAATTCAAGAAGGTTAGAAGAAAAACCCATTCCATATAATTTACCCAGCAGAACATCATTATCAACCCTGTCAAACGCCTTTTTAAAGTCGAAATAGATAACGTCAACCTGGATGTTTCTATCTTAGTGTTGCGAGACAAAATCAACCAATGTCAAGAGGTTAGTATTTACAGAGCGGTTCAGTCTGAAACCATGTTGCGAATCGCATAGATAAGGTTGTATTTGTTTACTAATATGTTGATGTATTAAAGATTAAAACAATTTTGGCAATGATGACAGTATCGCTATGGGTCTATAATTTTCTACAAGTGTATGATCGTTTGTTTTGGGGATAGGTTGCACACGCGAAACTTTCCAACTTGGTGGTGGGATGGATTCGGCGACGCGTCGGTCGGCACCCCGCGCGGGGGACCCGCCGAGCCGGTACCCGGGGCTAACCGCTGGTGGCTGACCGGGCACCAGACACGACGGAGGGCCAACGGCCCGGGCAACGGCCGAGCGCGCACTAGTGTGGGCGAGCCGTCCGCGTCCGAGCTTCGGTCGAGTTCCTCTGTAGATTGCGGTCCGAGCGGTGAGGTGCAGGTTTATGTCCGTCCTCCTTGGCTGCGCGGCGAATCATAATTTCGAGGCTAGTCAATGGTAACTAGGACAGCTGTCGGGCAGCGGTTGTCCAAACACTGCACGATGTTTCTTTCCGACGAACTGTGTCGACAGGCTGTTAACCCGCTACTGATATTACCCCGGTCTGTACGACGTACTTTCGGTGACGGCACGCACATCGCATTTTTGGCTCTGTCCAATCCGCGACCCAAGCGAAGAAGAAGTTTTCTCCGTCTCGCTTTATTTCTCGGGCGGGGAGACTCTTTTCATATTTTATTTATTTACTCGTCTCCTACACCATTTCATTACTAATTCAATAAATTACGATTATACATTCTGAAATGGTGTAGGAAGACTGTGTCGATCGAAAGTACAGCCCGTCGATAAAGGAGAATGGCAGGTTTGTATGGAAGTTTTGTACCGCTATAAAATTTTGTATTAGTCATTGTTTTAACCAAGTGAATAGTCTGAACGATAGATATTTTTATTATGAAGTTTAGAAAAAAATTACATATTTTTAGAACTTGGGGTTCAAAAGTTATTTCACTTTGAAAATGTGCAAAAGGTATGTTAAGGTGGTACCACACTTGACATTGCGTAGTCGCTTCATTTGTCCAAATATTTGTAGACTTCGTACAAATGGCGTCCAAATAGTATCTCTATATGTAATGGCGTGCAAATATATAGCAAACAAAGAAGAATAAATCCTCCAAACATGTTCTTTTTTGGCCGAACACAACAAATACGCAACGTCAAGTGTAGAGCCACCGTAAGCAAAATATCTATTACAAATGACAGATGACAGTTAACTGAAAAATGTCAATGTGCTCTCATGTGGTTGTTTATTTACAAAAAACAAAAATCTAAAAATACTGCTCGCTACTCAAGTGACTATTACACTTTGTATTATTAGAAAGAAAGAAAGAAAGAAAACCATTTATTTTGCTACGACACACAACAAGAATTTAGAAACCCAAAAAATAACCTATGGTGCGTCGCAGCGCAAAAGGCAATTAGGAATGATCCTGTTAATTCAGCAAGCATGATGCACCTATAGAGTTTTAAAGAGTATGCCTCACAATCTTTTTCATTTCTTAGGTGCCTACGAAAATGCAAATTCATAATGTAAGCGACTGTCATTGGGTAGAAGGCCTACATTTAGCAGTGGAAGTCTTGTGGCGGATATGATAAAACTAATGTCTCACTTCACCTTGAATCTTGCAGGTAGATAGTCTCAAGGGTCTCAAGTTAATTCGATTTAAACTTAGCTTAGCTCTTTGAGAAAGTATTTCTTCTGAAAACTGGTTGCTTAGCACGCATGTAAGGATTAATTTCTAATAAGTAAGTCAAATTAGTAGAATCATCAACATTTTCATCATTAAGTCTATAAGTGGCCACTGCTGACCGAAGCCTCTTCTCGCATGGAGGTTTGAGCATTAATCACCATACTAGCTCAATGTGGGTTGGTAATTCAAACTTATAATAAGAAATTATAAGCCCATGTTTCCTCACAATGTTTTCCTTCACCATTCGTCAGCGGTGTCTTTGTACTTTCTTAGATTATTGAATATACCAATAACTCGGAAAAAAGACACATTGGACAAAAGGTACTTTGCCGTTGGTAGGTTTCGAACCCGCACTCTCATGCATGAGAAGCGGGCTTCTTAAACCTCTGGGCCACCACATTACAACTAAAGAAAATGTAAAATGAAAATGAACATTTTTGGTATAAAACTAAAGCTATCTAAATTAAATATGGCATTTATTTTATAGATTGATTCTTAAAATCACTTTTATCAAGATGGAATATATAGTTACTTACTAGGTTAAAATAAAACAAATGTATTATTTTGAAATACTTTTATTTCATTGTATTCAGGTTGTTTCTAGGAGTACTTCATCTAAAAAGAGAACAGGCCGTGTCATAGGTACAGCAGACATCAATTGCTGATATCTGTAAACAAGTAAGATAACTGTAAATAAAGTAAACAAAAGTACATTTTTTTCCTTTAGTTTTATATGTTATAATAATAAGTCTGATTCCCTATCTTAAAATGGAAAAGATAAAAATAAATATTTGATTACATTACTTCATTTTATAACATTTATTATAGTTATTCGTATAACACAGATCATAGGAGCTCAAACAGCATGCTAATTAATAAATTATAATTATAACATGAGTATAAACCTATTAGAAACCGCTTATATACTCCACATAGATACATAATTATGTAGGTACATTATATTGAGAATGCATACCTGTTGAAGCTTTGAGAGCCGAACAACATCATCCGGCCTCATCTGTTCTACAAATGGCAATGTTAAAGTGAGGCTTAGTCCATGTTTACATAATACATTACTTCCTGATAGTGAACACTGTGAGGTGGTATGTCAGGTTGTGGTTTTATAGTTTCGACTCTTGTACGGTCTCTCAGTCAGTATGGAACATGATCTTCATCATGGGAAGTAAGCTAAAATAAGTAATATTATTAGAATATGATATTGACTTTAGATTACACTGTATATAGATAATAGTATGGTTAAATTATGCTTTATTACCTCTTGTGGCTGAATCCAATCAAATACTATATGAGCCAGTCTTTACTCCTGTTTGTTGGCGCCTTCAATTAAAACCCTGCGTCACCTTATCATTGCAATGAATCACCCATATACGACACAAACATGCCAGTGACCAATTTGTTTGCTGGACATACTTTCAGCAACATCCGATACATTGCTAATTGCCAGCAAGCATTGCAAATATGGTCGGTAGGAGAGATCTAGAATAAAAAGAATAAAATGATACATTATGGGTAGATAACACTATGCGCCTTCTTTTATTCAGGCAACATGGTGACTTTCGATATGTCATGGGTAAACTAGGTACTTACATCTCTAGGATAAGTCCACATTGGGATATTGTTGACCACGTCTAATCTTCACTCTCATTTTCTAGAGCATGCCGTCTCATGTGCGACAAACTCTGAATGCAATTAATACACTGTAAATTCATCATCGCGACAAATAACAACACACTGCACAAAACAATGTAAATAAGTGTCTTTTCGCAATTGTCACAACAATGATGCCAATAATACCAATTT